AAACATTGTGTTCTGCGTTGTATACGTTTCCACCGAAAAGGATTGTTTTTCTTTGACCAAAGCGTGAGAAACCGGAAGTTTGAAGTGTTTTAGTAGTGCCGGGTCACGCCCTAATTCCCATGGCGATGGCTTTTCCTTTGTTTGTTAAGAGGTTTCATTTCTTTTTGTTTACTCTTCTTTTTGGTGGAACGCAGTTCCCATTTGCCACTCATTTATGAGTATAGGAGAACTAACAATTGTGGTAAAATGAGTTTGGACTTTGGCAGACTCGTGGTATTAAGCAGATTGACCATCTTCCGCCATTTTGGAATTTAAGAGGTGAGTGTATTATTATGTTGTAATTTTGTATTGTTGGGTTGTTATCGTTAGCTTCAATTCATGATTTCCAGTGAATTTAAGAGGGGTCAGTTAGGGGGGGTCAGTAGGGGGTCAGTTGACCTGGGGTCAGTGTTTTGTCCTAGCCCAACTTGGATCCACCTGTAGAAAAAGAAAGTCCACAATGTTTATATGTTTCATGTTACCTTTACGATAAAGTGAACTCCTATCACCTATGTTGGTTCCTAACTGCAATCATAAAAAAAAATACCAATGAATCACTAGCAATTGAATACTAATGAAGCACTGAACACATATTAGGAATTTTACAGGAACTGCTGACCAACATTCTTGTTATGAACTCTGCATGGGCTTGTATGCTTACTAAACTTCTCTGTCATGCTTGTTATGAACTCTGCATGGGCTTGTACACTTACTAAACTTCTATGTCATGCTAGTTATGAACTCTGCATGGGCTTGTACGCTTACTAAACTTCTATGTCATGCTAATGTTATGAACTCTGCATGGGCTTGTATGCTTACTAAACTTCGCTATGTATTCTGAAAGTGTCCCAGGTCTCATATTCTTGCAAAACTTGCTTCTGTTAAAGTGGATGTCAAGATTTTGCATTTACCAGCATTAACATGAGTTCCATGAGAAAATAAAGCATGGAATTCAGTTTTGACTTTTTCATTGGGGATACTTACCACAAAGTGAGTGCTACGTTGATTGTCTGTAAAAATCAAAGTCAACAAAAATCAATCGCTGCTTATTCAATCATACTCTTCATCTTTGTAATTTAATTTGTGAGAATAAATATAATAACAAAGAAAAAGTATGTGGAAATTCTTTTGATTTATACCTTTTGGGCTGATGGAAGGTTGTAACTCATCCTGTTTTTGTTCTTTTGTATCTTTCAATCCACCATTATGGCTTGTTGTGGAGGGTTTGATGTGGAAATCATCACATGTCACTGAATGTTTTATTGAGAAAGGCTCAGCCACATTCCAATCACCATTTCTAAACACACTTGCTTTGAAAGTCTTGTGAGTTGTTTTGGTGGCCAGGTTTGTGCTTGAGCCAGGTTCATCAGCAGAATGTTCCAGCTTCTTCTTGAATGAGTGCCTTGTCTCTGTACCATATCTGTGAGTGAGAAAAACTTCATTGGGTGATTATTGCTTGTAAACCAAAAAAAAAATGGGGGATCTCATTGATTAATCCAATCCCATCTCTCTAGTTTTGCTGCTTCCTTAGTGTCTTTATATGTTAACTTCATAGTATTATCATTATTAACATTTTATTATTTTAAAACTGGCATTGATATACAAAACATAATTATGGCAAAAGAACCAGTAATGAAATTTGAACTGTAACAATTTAGTGAGACTGAAATGTTGTAACATTTAGCTTCAGATTACTCACCCGTTTAAATCACTCCCAAACTGAAAATGTGTAGTATTAAGATCACTGGTAAGGTGTTGACATTCAGCTCTGTTTCAAGCACTAAAGCTTGGTCCCTGGGATCCCTGGGAATCAATTAGAAACACTGACTCAGGCTTGTCAAAATTAGCCAGCAACCAGCCCATTTCACCGGCTATTCCGAATACTCTGACAGCTAGGTTTGTTCTAGGCATGGTATTGCGGAAATAAAACTGCTGCATGCATGTTCAGTTAATAATTCGTTAGAAGCCAAATCGGAACAGAGGCAATAAAACAATTATTTTGCCTAAAAAGTACAATAAGATATGTGCGTGCCACAGATATCGAGGCAATTGGCCGCGCTTGCAAATGCGTCAGTCAGTGCAATTAGAGATTGCGTTTAGTTGAGGTTTCAATTATGACGAGTGGAGGCGGCGGAGCGAAATGAAGTAGGACTTTGCTTGATCTCATTAAAAAGAAGAGGACGGGGGAAGATGAAGAGAATGAGCAAGACGACAGGCAACAAGGTAAGCATTGATAAAAACTTGTCCTTTGCACATTTTGCATTGTGTGGGAAAACAATATCAGTCAGCGGACAGACCACGGATTCAATACATCGATGGGGCAAACAGAGAAGTCGTTGTGGTCCACTGGTTATCTTGTGACAGGGCTGGAAATAGTTTCGGGAGAGTCTCCTAACACGATTACTGGCCAAATTCATTTTAGCTAGGTCACGTAATGTTTCTGTACTTTCGTCATACTTTTTTTCTTTCATTCGAATTATCCTTTCTTTTTTGTCGCTTTAGTAACACTTTTGTTTATTACAACAGTGTGAAAATTATGTAAACCCTGATTTTATACCTTAACTCACTATTTACAAATACGTTTTTTGTGCTGGCGCTTTGCTTAAACAATCAAAAAGAAATACCGAGGCTTGTACTAACATTGAAACAAAGAAGGATAATTTTAGAATAAGTTGAGCTTTATTTGCAAAACGAAAACTTGCAGCCAAATGCGTATTAATACAAACACGAAGATCGCCAAATTTATCCGCAAGACATGATGGAGCCTCTGTTAATTTAAATTAGTAAGATGTTCATTTCATTTTTGTGGGCTCTTGACTTTTTATTTTCACCGGGTTTTACATGATTCTTTTGACATTTTAAAAACATTTTAATTTCGTGGGAGAAGTCAAATTTGGCGAACTGCACTGTAGTTGAGATTGACAAATTGGCAACAATTGGCTTTTAGGCAAGTCTAATTAATTCTGTTTTTTAGAGATAGAAGTTGCATTGGTAGCTTGCTGAAAATAGGCCCAGTTTGCATTTCAGTATCATTTTTGGCAAAGATTTCCTGGGGAGGCCCCCCCCAGAACCGACTGAACCCCCCATGAAAGAGGGACGACGTCCCTCCATACCCTCCTTGAATGGTGTGCATGCCTTGCTGTAGCCGCTTACTTTATGGACAGAACCTGCTACTCAGAAACCTACTGACAACCCTGCTGACTTCAGTTAAAAAATTGTGGTAGCATCATCTTGAAATATTCAGTGACACAAACATAATGTACAAAAGAATTTAAGGTGGTATACAAATAATACTGTACCAGATATTTGAAATATTCAATCCTTTTTAAAACGCACTGTGACTCATCTGTTATAACAATGAAAAATTAGATAACAGGCTCGCTTGAGCAACATACCTTTGCAAACTTTCTGCCATAAACTGATCCAGACTTTCCAAATATTTTATCAGACATGTACTTAGGAGAGAAATCCTGTTTACAAGTACAACAGACAAATCATTATAATATTAGCAAACCCTTCTCAAGCACTGTTAAATTATGTCATCGCTGCTGTTCAAAGTATTAACAAAAACAAAATTAAATAAACACACTTACAACAATGCTAGTTGACTGGCTAGGAGCAGCTTTGATAGGAGCTCCCTGAAACTTGTTATCAAAGTCCTTTGCTGTAGTTGCCAAGGAGGCCCCCCCCTCTGAGCCTAGTTCAAAACTGGTAACATTTGTCTGGCAAAGTAAAAGAGGACTTAGCTGAGAATCGATCAGTGATAATAATAATAACACCTTTATTTAGACACGATAATGTTTAAAGCTGTACAGCTTGTGGGGTCGTGTGTAAATGCAAATAAACTCTAAATTAAATAAATTCAAATGATGATGGTTTTTGAGGAGAGGGGAAAACCGGAGTACCCAGAGAAAAACCTCTCCGAGCAGAGTAGAGAACCAACAAACTCAATCCACTTACGACGCCGGGTCCGGGAATTGAAGGCGAGCGCTCTCACCACTACGCCAACCCTGCCCCAAACCAATATTTGAGTTACAAATAAATTTAACCGAAAGGTAATGTCGGGCAAATCTATTTGGCACACCTGTAGATGTTAGACTAAACAATGTTCTATAACATCTTTGTTGTCATTTAATCAACTTACCTGCACGTTAACTTTGACATGCTTGATATTTTTACTAACGCTGGGTTTCTAGGAAAAACATGAGATATGAAAAGTTGTAAATTTTCACATAAAATTAATTTCCCTTTAAAAAAATAACGATAATTGCTCCACGGCTGGCCATGTCTATGTCAAATCATTCATGTCAGCTGATTCAATCGAGTCAATACATCTTGAGAATTCAAACTGCAAACAAATTAAAACTCGAAGGTTTTGGCCGCAACGTGTACACGAGAGCACAGAACAATGACAAATTAGCAAACAACCTGGCTGATTCTAGATACATATCGTTAAAGTGGATATTGTTCTGTATTCTAGCGTAATTCACGATCACTCGGTCCAAAATCAATTTTCCGGTTCTTCAGACTGGTGACCCTTGACGACCTGCTGGGTACAGCTGTTGTCCAGTGCGAGCACGCATATTTCACTTTGATTTGTAAACCCACACCATCTGACGAGCTACTGTTTCATAAATATAATAACAGGTTACACGTAAGTTACAACTGACACATGGCTAAATCCTACCTCAAAAGAAATAGAAAAGGAGGTTTTCCACGAATTCTTCTCCTGATTATCGCCATGCCATTCTCCATTTTGTAACACATGATCGCGCAATAGAACGTCTTTGATTTCCGTCTGAGCACTTATCTGGGTTGGACCGTAAAGACCTTTGTTCAAATTTGTTGAAAACATCGAAATAGAGTGGAAATTAAAATAATAAGCCTTTGATCACTTCGGAAATATTTGCACTTTGTCTCGTCAAAACAAACAGCACACACTGTGCAGGAATGTAATACGTTCCTTTCTAAGTCAATTACTAACGGTTGCTAGGTAACGCTCTCGCAAGGTACCAGCCAGGGAGGGGTAGGTGAAATAGGCAAAAGACTACATACAATAACAGAAGACTGTTGCTTCATGGGGAGCGACGTTATCAGTCTTGGAAAAAAAAAATCGAAAAATTAAAAAAAAAAAAAAAAACTCCCGTTGATGAATAAATATCATGAGCATCATCTTTATCTTCTAAACGCTTAGAATGAATTGCACAAGGCACATCGACAGTTCAGGTACCATTTCTTCATTCCTGTTATCCTGTAGGTCGCGCACTTGATAAGCTGATGGCCTCTGTATGGAACTAAACATGAAAAACATTACTCTTCACTACAAGTTTATTCATGAACAGAGTAACACAATTTAAACATGATTTCTTGTACTGTGGTGCTACATTCTTTAGGATTTGGTCCAAGGGAGATTATATATTTCAAATACGTACCAGACAATTGGGAATCTCTTTATGATCATCACTTATTTGATATGATGAACACTTACTGAATCTAACTTAGTAGTAAATTATAACATTAAAAAGACCTTGTCTAATCTTCAATTTATGTTTACCTTAAATAGGTAAAAAAAGGATTAAAATTCCGAATTATCCTAAACTTAAAGACAGTTATACTAGTAATCATGATGAACACAGCAAGAATACATATATTTTTTGATTGTTATTTTTTGTACTTTTTGTTGATGCTTGTTGGTGACTCTAGTCATTCTCGTAGTTTTAATTTCCAGTTTATATTTGGGTAACTATGAATATAAAACGTACTTAAAACGCCAAAGAGAAAAAGCGTTTTTTATATGATAGTTGAAAGATACTTCCCTGTTTGAAGAATACTTCTGCAGTTTGGTTGATAATGAAAGCCTTGTTTTTACTACGTACCTATGGTCTTTTTCAAACTTCACTTACATACTTACTAACAAAAAAAAATTCCCTAAATATCATAATCTTTCTCGTGCCCTGATAGCCGTCTTCAAGCCATCTTTTTCCGGTTTCGTGACTGCATATCCAATTAGCGTCTATTTTAAGCAAACATTTGTCTAAATATAGGTAACAATGAATTTTTCATCAGTATTTTAGCGGTTTCCATCGAAACCGACACGTAATGGAAGCCCTTCAAAAATCTCGTTCCAAGTATGAGGAAAATCTAATGTTTTAATCACAAAGTACAAATAATATGTATAAATATTTTCGTTCAAGTTCTCTGATTGATCGCTGATAAGCACAAAAGTAGACCATCTGGCAGAGATAAGGCCACTTCGCATATTCCCCGCAATTAGCCGCTGTCCAGTCAGGTGTCTGGCAATGAGTTCTTGAAAGGAGGCTTCATGGAGGGGTTCACGGCTTGTTTTGGTTTGGGGTTGTAGGCGTTTTCTTTCCTCAAGTTCGCATTAAGGCCGAGAAATAGAAGGATTTCAGGACGATGGTTAATGAATCTGAGGTTAATCAAGGTACACCTGAAATTGTTCATTCAAATCAACTGCTCAAGGGATTGAATCAACTTCGGCAACGACGTGAACTGTGTGATGTCGAACTGTGTGCCGGAAAAAACAGAGTTTCAGCTCATCGTGTTGTCCTGTCAGCCTGCAGTCCTTACTTTAATGCTATGTTCACAGGAAAGCTTCTTGAGAGCCAGAAACAAGTCATCTATTTGAAAGATGTCGACGAAAGTGCCCTCCATATTCTGGTCGATTTTGCTTACACCGGAAAAGCTCAAGTTACACACGAAAACGTCCAAGTTTTGCTGCCAGCTGCCAACATGCTGCAGTTAAACAGGGTCAAGGAGATATGCTGTCTCTTTCTAAGCCAACAGCTTCATCCTAGTAACTGTTTAGGAATCAGTAAGTTTGCGGACGCGTACTCATGTCAAAGTCTGCAGAAAAGGTCTAGGAAGTACATTCAAGATCACTTCCAAGAAGTTATCCAGTACGAGGAATATCTCCTCTTGTCACCATGTCAGCTAACAGACTTACTCCGCGACGATAACCTAAACGTTGTTTCAGAACAAGTTGTGTTCGAAGCAGTTCTTTCTTGGATTAAACACAAACTCCAGGAGAGAATATCGCTTCTTGGAAAACTACTTCAGAACGTCCGTTTACCCTTGTTGACATCGCGTTTTCTTACACTGAGCTACGAGACAAATGAACTTATTCGGGCAGATGGAGCAAGCCAAGTTTTGTTACATGATGCATTGAAGTACAGACATATTAAAGGGAAGTGCCATTCTTGCAGCACCACAGTCATCCCTCGACGTGCGCCGAAGCGAATCTTTGCCTTGGGAGGTAAAAATGGCCTTTTTGCAACTTTGAGTAGTGTAGAATATTATGAACCTGAGAGGGACAGATGGATCGAAGTGTCCAGCATGAATCTTAGAAGATTCGAGTTTGGAGCAGCAGTATTAGACGGTATGTTTATTATGTCCACTCGCTCAATGTAATTCTGGTGAACTTCAGTTCGATATAGTTTTCACTTTTTGTAACAACTCCATGCCCTATTATATCATCTTCATTGTCGATTTCAGAGTTGAAATCCTCATAGGGTTTTATGAGAAATGATTGGTGGGTTCTTTTGATCCCAATTTTATTACCACTGACACCTGTTTCTTCAAGGGTCAAAAATATTTTAAGTCTACAAAAAAAATTTCATAAGTAGAGGCAGTAAAGCTCTGCTTATTTTAGTTCAACAAAATATTTAATAGGCTTTGAAAAAGCCAACATTTCCCAGGTCCATTGCTATTCAGAGAGAATTGCAAATTTGTTCTAAGATATTTATAGTATTCTCAAATACATCACATTTCCATTTCCTAAACATTGTTTCAGATGCTGAATTTTTCATTAGCAAATTTTAATCTAGAGTTAGACTGGCCCAAATTATCAAATATCAGCCAGTTTATTCAGATGGGGAATTATATAGGCTATTCTATAGCTGTTCATAATGCAGTGCTAGGATTTTCTGTGGTTTCAGGAGAAACATTTCAACATAATTTATGTACTAAGTTCACTAAATCATGAGTTCAGACTCTGAATCAAAGCATTTCCAAGGTTGTCCCTCCTGAGCCAAGAAGGAAGTATGGCTTGAAGTATTACACCTTAAAACTGATTCAGTAGCTAAAGTTGTGTTAGACTTAAATCAAGGCCCATGATTCGGTTTTGAAAAGTGTGCCATCTTAACAAGGCTTTTCCCTTTGACCATTCTAGTCCCTGTGTTCTCTTCCATGAAACACACATAAATTTTCTTCTTCCTCTTGAAAGATTTTGACACAACCCAACATAATGGCATGTAATGGATGGCAGTTACTGCACCTATTCTAATTAATGATTAAGCTACAGGGAATGCTATATAATGATATATTTATAACTCACAGGTAAACTCTATGCTGTGGGTGGCCTGGTCTGTGGTGTTGGTGTCCACAGTGGAGCACCTTTCAGATATTGTGACAATGGAAGTGAGTGCTTTGATCCTGATACAGGGCAGTGGAGCAGAGTACCTCCTATGAATCACTGTCGCAGCAACCACACAGTGCAACCATTAGGCAAGTAACTTTTGTCTTTTGATGACATGCTTCAATATTATCTCTGCTGTGTGTAACAAGCATCATGGAGGGTGGATGATATTTTTATGATAGTTCCTAGGAAGCTTTAGATTATTACTTTTTCTATCAACTAAACACGTGCTTAAGTTGTGTGAGCAGTAGTTACATCTGCACCAGCATCAACACCATGCAGCTAAAAAGTTGGTAGGGTGCCACAGTGTGATATACATTTTTTTTCAATTTTTTTGTGTTGAATTGCACTAACTTAGGCATGTTTTATCTTGGTAGAAAACTTCTTGTCTTTTATGGACAGGTGGGTACCTATATTCTCTTGGTGGTTACGATGGTAACTCGTACCTTAACACAGTGGAATGTTACAACAATCGTACCAAACAGTGGAGTCATGTGGCGCCAATGCACTACAGTCGCAGTTGCTTTGCCACAGCAGCATGTGATGGATATCTTTATGCTCTGGGAGGATATGGGCCATCTTATCTTCGAACTGTGGAAAGATATGATCCTGCTTCAAATTCATGGGAAATGATGCCTGCAATGAGCACTTACAGAATCAATTTTGGTGTTGGAGTTTTGAATGGATGTCTTTATGTTGTTGGTAAGATGAACCTTTGATATATAAATTGTGGAATTTTGTAAGTGACTGTTTGACCCATTCATTTTCTTTTACCAGAAGTTTGAATATTATCCTCTGAGTGTGTTGATTAAATGACTTATGACAACTGTGATGTATGCAGCCAAATTCATCAATCATTTTCATCTGTCATTAGGTGGTCACAATGGAGTGTCCCATTTACGAAGTGTGGAACGTTTTGATCCATTGTCAAGTGAATGGACCATGGTGGCTCCTATGAGTCGACCACGAACAGGTCTTAGTGTTGCTGTATTGAATGGATTTCTGTATTCAGTTGGGGGACATGATGGATCAGGCTACCTCAGCCTTGTTCAGTGCTATGATCCAAACACAAATACATGGCACAACGTGAAAAGCATGTGTTCAAGTCGTTGTAGTTTTGGCATAGCAACACTATAAATTTTTGTTACTAATAAACTAAATCATACAGTTAGAACACTTGTTACTAATGGAGAGGAAATAATTCTAGGAAATTTCTAGCCTTAAATAATTCAGTTATTTGCAAAATGGTAAATATATAATTTTATAAGCTTTATTTTTTTTTCTGACGCTCTTGAATTAAAACACTTATTAGTAACCAATTGCAAATATTGGAACTTTCTCAGCAACAAACTGAGGGTTACAAATATAAAAATCTCAGCTTTTATTCATTTAAGGAAAGGGTTTCTCGGGTTATTTGAAAATAACACTTAATTAAAAAAATTAAAGGATATCATTCATAAACTAAATTAATGTAATTATATACATTGGATGTGTATCTAAGCCTGAAGCAGGCAGGCAGCCAGCCATGTCAATGATTGAAACTCTCACCTAGACAAGTTTTATCTTTCCTATGGGTCTCATTATTATTTCATAAAAATCCATGAATTAAGGAGATTTGACTTTTTTTACAAAAACAAAGGCAGAGTAGTAGAAATTAGATTTATCTACACAATGTACCATGCTCAGCATACTGTACATCATTGATCAGGCATTAACACATTTAACAGCTCAAAATCTCATTAAGTTATTTTACTCTGGTTTGTGAAAATATGTCAAGTTTCTTTCTGATTTTGGTGCTGCTATTTTCCCTAGTTTTTATTTTCATGGATGACACAACTTATGAAACAATATCAACACAATGTGCTAATAATATTCTTAGTGGTATAGGTTAAAATTTTACTTTCAAGTAACACTGATGTGAAGTTAACTTGATGTAACAAATTTTTGTATCACTTCACACAACTTCTTAGGGATTAAACTACCTCATTTGGTTCATCATTACTGTCATGTGAGGAAAAACCCTGGATTTGGTCTAATTCTTGCTGTATTTACACGTTAATCACATGATGTGCTTGGAAGCAGAGATTGCTGTATCAGGAGTAGCTGAACTTACGGGCAGGTCACCTGGAGAAAGTAGGGCACTCATTCTTATCTAAATTACTGCTAAATTTAATGAAGGGTGTTTCTAATGGCTAGTTACAGGAATTGAGAAATTAGCTCCCTGATGAGTGTGGGATGGCAAGTATATTCCTAATTAGTTGAAGGGATATATGCGAGGGCACATTTTTTTTTTTACTCTTGGCTGATTCACTGTCCATCTGGAATTATCACAATAAGTTTGTAGTAACTATCTCCATTATTTCCACCATATGACTACAAATTAGAAATAATCGTGGCTGCCGAATTCATTTCATAAGTCTTGCTTGGATTGGATATTAGTGGTGCAGTTTAACGCTAACCGAGACTTCACAACATTAATTAGGGAAAAAAAATTTGTAATTATTACATCCTATACCTCAGGTGGTTCCGAAAAGATGGCCAGTTTTTAATTAAAGGAAAATACTCTCAACTAATGTATAGTAGTGATTACTAGGCTTCAAGAGTATCTGTTTTCATACAAGAATTTCAATAAAATCACCAATGAATTCATCTCATCTGCCTGTATTTATGCTACTAATTTTACATCACTGATGATGTATTAAGAATGGCTACTCTTGAAAACTCTCTCATAATTTATTACATATCAGAACCAAATTTATTTGAGTTCTACCCAGCCTTACATGTTCAATGTAAGATCAGGATGACCAGTTTGGCACTGGTCACTCAGGGCCCCATAGGATGGGTTGGAGGGGAATAAGAAAGAGTGGAATCACAAAAGCAAGTGTATTCCTGATTTGATAACAGAAATCCTACCCATACACTGTCCCCTGGTCAAATTAACCACACAAAAATTGTACTGCGTGCCGACGAAAAGTCAAAATTTTGGAGAAACCAAGAAGGCAAACACAATGCACAGTAAATTTTTAAAAATCAGCTTTTCCAAAAAACAAGCTGCAGAGAAAGAGGACTAATTAAAGAACTTATTTCCGGCGAAAAAAGCGATAGGTGCATATTACGTTTTAACTCAAAAATCAAGATGAAAGATAAAAATCGCTAAATATTTTCGCATGTGTGAAAATGGGCATGTGGATCCTATTTCAAAAGGGAATATGCAAATTTGTCCGTGAGTGAAGTGATCTCAAGTTCCATGGAATCTATCAATTCTTTGTTTGCACGTGACGTCGGCATAAATTAAAAAACGGGGGTCAGCCATGTTGGGGGATAACCACCGGTTACAATCCCTGCAAGATAGCTCTCTGAAGTGTAAGTTGAAGGTGTTACGCATATACTTGTCAATGTCCCGCATTCTAAATAGCTGACAATACTTGTAATTAGGTATGCCAATGCAGACTATTTTCAGACTTGTGCTGTAGTTTGGATTGCAATACTTTTATTTTGTGTGAATGGTAAATTTTTTTGTTGGATACTACACCGCCCACGTGCTTTGCGGAAGCCGGTATGATCGTTTTACAGTTTTAGTTTCCCCTCTTATCATGCCACAACTCTGTGTTGTCTTTGGTTGTTTTGAATTTGGTTGTGTTACAGGTATGAACAAGCAAGCAATTGAAAAGAGGTTATTGTTTAAGCTTTCAAGGCTGTATGTTTCTTTTGTAATAAAAATTTTCTTAACTTGGCACATACGTATATGGTTTAGTTTGAGATTCAGATAATTACTGATACTTGTGGGATTGATGCTGTGTTTTCTAAATAGTGATAATAACAACACAAATTGGGGGATAACCACGCATCTACTTTTTGGAAGCCGGTATTGTTTCGTTGGTAAAGACAAAACCAGGTGAGTCTCTGGCTCCTATTGACAAAGCTGCCATAATGTGCTATGCACTCACCAATTTATGAGTCCATGCATTGTACCATTTGATCGAGGTGAACTTACAACCTGTTTCATTCCAGGTACTTCATGTACAATTTTTCATATAAAGGCTGTAGTTAAGGCTAGCCACAATCTGTCATTAAAGAACTTCAGTAATTCTCAAGTTGACAAAAACACAGCTTTAAGGTACACCATTGACAAGCAACATTTGTTTAGTTTGTGTCACAGATGCAAGTCGTTAATAGATACCTATACGACAAACAACCATAAAGTTTAGTTAGCATTTTGACAAAGAAAGGAGCACCCTCATAGTAATATTTTTGTGGTTGTGGTACAATTGAATAACCTTGACATTTCAATCATGATTGCTCAGTTAATTTTTTTCTATAAAAAGTTGCACAGATATAGTTTCCTAAAGGCTCTTCTTTCAACTTCAAACATGATTTATGATACCATTTTATCTTGCACAAATCATTGTCACAGCCAATTAATGTGCTACCCTCCAAATCTTGTTGACAATAGCACCACTGCCTTTCCTCTTCTTCATCACCAGATGATGTTGAAGAAGATGCAATGGCTACAGCTTCACACCCTTGGCATGTATATTACTTCCCAACAATTTCAGGCAAAATGCACTTGCTTAGGAGATCAGAGGAAACGGAGCCTGCATTTTCCCAAAACTCTTTGTCAGGAAGAGCGATCTATTGTTCACACCACAAAACTACAATATTCAACCTCACAGATAAAGATCTGGGCCTGAACTTGGTAGTAGGCATGACTTTTGTCAAGATGAACTTTACCAAACTCATCTTTCTTTGAACAAAAGTTGGTTTGGCCGGCAGCCTCAGCGATTGTGGAATCCTTGTGTGCATATGGACACTTTATTCACACACACCCATCCCACAGCATTTGCAGTTAATAATCCCATCAGGAGAAGCTATGAAGTATGGTCACCTTCGATCAATATTGAGACCACTGTCAGAAATTGTCAGACTCATGGTCAGAAATTGTCAAGACTCATGGTCAGAAATTGTCAGACTGGTAGCTTTGTGAGCCCTACCCTCATTTTCACAACCCCACCTCGTGGCTGCAGTTAAAAACTTGTGGGCTTCAGGGTAGCATATGGACTTAACAAGACTCTTGGAAGGCTTAGCTGTATTTGTTTTGCAAGCAGTTTTTAGATTGGAAGCAGTAATATGACCTGCCTGCCTGCCATTTGGTACCAAACTTTATATTGTGACTGCTTTCTAGTTGAAGCTTCTATAGCKCCACACTCATCAGGTGTAATCTCAAGCAATATTTGTTGACACTGCTGCAGCATGTCTATGTACTGGTAATCTAACTGCAAACACTCTTCTCTAAAAAAAAAAACAGCTATTGGGCAAGGGCTTGGGTACATTACCAATTTCTTTACAAGTATACTGCTCATTTAAAGGTGCGACAAGGGACAAGACTGCTGGATTTACTGTACAGCCAGAAATACTTCTAAAAATAGTTTTCTGCTCTTCTGGGGTTGGGGCAGGTGTCCTGGTTGTTCAGATCCCAGGGTTAGATCTAGTAGCCATAGGACTAACCAGTGTTTCTCCACCATCAATTCATGCTTCCTTCAGGCAGAGGTAAAATCCATCTCA